AGTTTAGGGCATTGAAAAGCCCGTAGAGGCCAAAGTAGAGCCAAACCTCACCTCCCTTGGCAACATTCTGGGTATTTTGGCCCTAATTCACCAAACAAATGCCAAACTTAGGCTTCACTGCCTTTTAGTGCGGCTGTCATCTGGCATCCTTAGGCCTAAATTGCCTAACAAATGCCAGAGTTAGGCTTACTGCCCGGTAGTTCGGTAGATATTTGGCATTTTTGGGCCAAACTCACCAAACTAATGCCAAAGTTAGGCTTCACATTTTGATAGTTCGGCTGTCATCTGGCACCTTCGGGCCAAAATCGCCACAGATGTGCCAGAGTTAGGCTTACTACCTTGTAGTTCGGTTGACACCTGGCATCTTTGGGCCCAAGTCGCCAAACAAGTGCAAAGTTAGGCTTCGCTTCCCGATAGTTCGGCTGTCATCTGGGAGCTACGGGCCAAAGTCGCTAAACAAGTGCCGAAGTTAGGCCTCGCTTCCCGATAGTTCGGCAGTCATCTGGCAGCTACGGGCCAAAGTCCCCAAACAAAGGCCAAAGTTAGGCTTCGCTTCCCGATAGTTTGGCTGTCATCTGGCAGCTACGGGCCAAAGTTCCGAAACAAGTGCAAGAACTAGGCATACTGCCTTGGAGTTCGGCTGATGAGGTATTTGATGTACGCGGGTGGTCTTCATCTTAATTAAATAGAAATCAAGTTTTATTTGGCTGGCGACTTTATCTTATTTTGCTGACCCGACTTTTTGCGATGCGATCTAGTCGCGGAGAGGCTGAGCCAATCAACGGCGTTCGGAGCGAGAGTTTTTGAGAAGCGACTTGCCAACGAAGAGGTTGGACTCGCTCATCGCGCTCGCCAGAGTGATCATCTAATAATTATTATTTTTTTGCGATGCGAATTAGTCGCACCGCGCGACTGCTTACATCCCCGGTGAGAATGCGGCTTTACAGAAAGTGCTGCCATCGAGCTAGCGCTGCGCGAGACTGATGTCCGCACGTCTCCTCAACAGATATTATTATTAGGTGGCACAGTGCAAAAGCAAGCGTGGCTCTGTGCGTGTCTTGTATTGTGATTGAGCACTGTCAAATCCTAGCCATAACCCAGACAATGCAAGGACATCCTGAGGACATACTAAGGTTGTCGACATGGGGACGTAAAGACCTCCTGAGGACGTTTTTACGGGGTCCTCAAATGCTCCCCGGCAGGTCCATTTGTCCGGCCTCACCACGTGGTGAGGATGTCCTGGAAACGTCCACACAGATGACATAAGCACGCCCTGAGGACATCCTAAGGGCGTCCTTATGTGACAGTAGAGACCTTCCCAGGACGTCTTTACAGGTCCTCAAATGATCCGTGGCAGGTTCATTTGTCCGGCCCCACCACGTCCTGACGGTGTCCTGTAAACATCCACACAGACGACACAAGGACATTCTGAGGACGTGGTAAAGGGCACCCCAAAGATTTCTGAGATGGCCTATTTATGACCGTAACTTGATCTACGTGCTCTAAGTGCCCCAAAAATCCAACACCTACAGTCATCTGCGGACAATTTCTTTATTAAAAGTCTGATCAAGGATCACAAATCTGACCTACAGATGGTGCCGCCGAACCCAGTTGAATCCGGTTTGATGACGTACGGCGCTCACGATTGGCTCACGAGCGCCGTTCGTCGTTCGACCAGATTCGGCCGGGCTCGATGGTGCCGTCTGTAGGTCTGAGTTGATCCTTGATCATATTTCTAATAGGAAAATAGGCCGCACATGACTGTAACTGTTGGATTTTTGGGGTGCTTAGAGCACATAGGTCGAGTTACGGCCATAAGTAGTCCATCTCAGAAATCTCTGGAGTGACCCTTTAAGAGCGTCTCATAAAAACGTCCGGAACGCTTTTTTGTAGTCCTCTAAAGAGCAATTTGACCGGCCCCAGCGTGCTTCCAGGACGCACATTCCAAGTGTGGCCACCATACCCAGTATTGCCTTCTGATGTACTGCAGCCAAGGCTACAAGCCTATCCGGCACACAAAGCATGTCACATGACTGGTTGGCGCAGTAACGTGCCAAGTCACGACACACTCATGGCTGGTACAGTGCTAATGAGGAACTGCACACTATACACACAGGTTTATGATGTCATATCTAAAAAATGGATTTGGGGAACTTAGTAGTGCATCCACATTGTCAAGAACTTCAACTATGGTTAACATGGAAGGCAGGTTTCAGACATATCTTGCAAATGATTTGGAAGAAAGCGCAGTCCCCCCCCCAAAGGTGCAAGGATTGTCTACTCAATATTAATAAACTCAATGTTGTTCATCCATATAGTTTATTAATTGCCCAATGTATAACATCTGATACAGCCAGTATCTTTTGTAGTTGAAAAAGGAATTGAGATATGTGTACTTTCCACAGCGTAAGTTACTAACAACCAACGACGCTCAGTATCACTCTGTGAATTACAGGATTAAAAGTTTGACAAGAAGTGTTCCACTGTATGCAACAAATAATCTTATTAGTAATCAGGCTGAATTTTCCGCTGATTCTTCTTCAGTTTTTCTGCGACATGCTTCAGCCATGTTTTTAGAACCTCCCAAACTTCTGCCTTGTCCGTTTCCAACCGCTTGTTCTTCTCTACGGCTCCTGAAATAAATTTGGGGATTTATTTTAACTGATTATATTGACATGTATAACCATAGTAGAAACTCAAATATGTATGATGCCTGAACCTGTTTTAAATACAGGGTGCCTATACAACCTACAGACGGCACTATAAACACTGGGATGAGGTTGCCATATAACTTGCGAGGGCCGAAAAGGCTCAATGGAAAAAGATAATATGCTAGTACTGCGAGTGACATCAAAGGAAATACGGGAGCACACAGTACATAGCCTCAAACATTACTTCAAGTAATAGTCGCTACCATGTATCACCAAAGTACGGTTTGAGTTTACTTGCCACATGATCCCGTGTTCACTTTCGTATTGCTCACAGTAGTATGTTACACGGCAAAGCTGTTGTAGCATTACAGCGTCGAAATGCATTTTCGCAATGCCAGAGCTTGCAGTGTAAGTATGCTTAAATTAGCACTGAGAAAGTTTCCGAGGTTGTCTGTTCTTGGACATAACTCATTCCTGGAGCTCAAAGCGTCCTTAAGATTCACAATTCACAATCCTGTGCCACCTATTTACATATTAAAAATGTTGTTGAAATTCATTTTTCTGCGATATATTGCAGAGGCTGAACCATTGCCAATCGACGAACGGCGCTTGTCAGCCACTCGGGAGCGGTAGTTTCCCGCAAGGAGTGATTCGCATGCGCGCTACTTTTCAGTGTTGGTTCCGTCCACAGTCAGCTGTGCCCTCTTAGACGCCTAATCTCTCACAATCCTTTAGAAACCGCATTCCCCACATGATAAGAATAATGGACGGGATCCTTGGGGGCGAAGGAGCACGTCTATCGCAAGCGAACGCCCCGGGGAGCAGACGAGCTGGCACATCGCTCCCTTCGAAGAAGGCGAGGGGAAACCTCATGTATTTCTATCGTCACGGGCTTAATAATCTGTTTTGTCACATGAAACTTTGAATACATATTAACTGGCACTTACTATGTTATATGAAAACAAAAACAAGCATCTACAAAAACCTCTTTAGTGCCCTTATAGGTTTGAATGGAGTCTGTCATCAAAACTATTAGTGGAATGTCGTAACCTTGATTACTACATGAAATGCAGAAATGCCAATGTAGGGCCTGTGGCTTTGTCAAGCTGTCCTTTTGACAGCTTTTTACACAAGCCTCCAGTATCCTGTACATTGTACTTTATGCAAATAAATAAACATGCTACTGGTGACTTCTGCAATACTGACAGGACTTTCCAGTTAGGGCACAAAGCTGTCAAGTCTGGTTCGCTTGACAGCTAGCTTGCACGAGTGAAGCAAATATGACAGCACCTGGCCGCCTAAACGTGAATCCGTGAAAGTTGGTTAGAAAATGCAGCATGAAAATCGCCAATATTGCGTTCACCTTTTATGATGGCAGAGCAGCAAAAGCTACAAGCACGAACTAGCACATGCACCTTGCATTAAGACCCAATGTTCCTAGATCGATCTACGAAAAAACAGCCCAACACTGTGGTTTCTTATTTATTTATACATTACATACCCAGGGCGACGTTTTGTAGTCTCCACTAAACTAACAGCCTAGGAGTGAACGGATTATATTCTGTGAACATCTGTAGAACAAAACTGCATGTCGGTTCTATCTCCATGTTTAGTTAAACGAGCGAATCACATTTTGTGTAGCATGGCATCTCACCCTGTGGCATGCAAGTTAGCATCATATATTGAGCGGCCTAATATCCTGAAAGCAGCTTTCCTCTTGGATTGTGGACCTTGGCAACACAAGAAGCCACTAAAATGCACCTTCCTGCCCCAAACATACATTAAGACTTATTCATACTTACTGTAGATGACATCCGGGTACTCGAGGTCTTTAAACTTCATCTTCTCCCTTTGACCCAGCCAGCTGAATTTCACCGCCACCTTCTGGGTCATCAACTGTTCCAGCCCACCACGTGTGTTGTTGCCCACCGACAAACCTCCAACGGCTGCCAGCTGATTGATCTGCATTGCAGTCAGTGAGGTCAATTAAGGCCTGCAATTTTAACGAAAACAAACAATAATGCCATAACACTCACAAGGCTTTCCTTTGTAGCTTTGCATGTCTTCAATTTTTTTTTCAAACACCAGAAAGTCATTCACGTTGTCCAAAGGTTCTTCAAGTATTTCGTCGTTGGGTACGTTCATTGCTCCACTGCTGTTAGGATTCCGAGAATGGTATCCAGCTACATAGAATGCTGTTCCACCCGGAGCCGGATTGTGTGCAAAATACGAATTACTTGCTTGTCAAGACCTAGAAAGGGAGCAGATTAAATTTCCCGTAGCTACACCAAAACATCTTGACTGCAAATTTACTACATAAACATATCCTCACCACTAAAAGCTTCTTCACTCCTCTTGTGCCCCATTGCCCGATGCATCATGGTGCTTCCTTGACTTTCTGAATGTGAGAAAAGGGACAAACGTGGGACAAAATCATCATATCTAGTGTTCAGCATTTTTGGTTCACACCACTACAACTATGCCTAACAAGAGAGGAAGCGGATTAAATATTCTGTACCTACACCAAAACTTGTCTCCAGATTTACCACATAGATGTATACTCACCACTAGAAGCTTCTTCATTCCTCTTGTGCCCCATCGGCCCATGCATCATAGTGCTTCCTTGACTCTCTGAATGTGAGAAAAAGGATACGTCTGTGAGAAATTCGTTATATTTAGGGTTCAGCATTTTCGGCTCGCACCGATACAAGTATGTCGATTCCATTTTCGAATGTGTGGTTTCAAAACGTTGGCGTTTTAGACCAGAACTGTGCGCCAAAGTAGGGGATCGACTTGCCATTGAGTGCAACCCAGTATTCAGATATCTACGTGACCGCTAAGTGTCCTGTTGGCTGAGCATTCACGGGTTAACACAGCCATTAGGGATCAGGTATGGACAGTTTTCATTCTGTCAAGCCGTTAGCTTTTATTTTATTTCTGGTCAAAGCAATAAAATTTATATTTTTTGCAATTTCTATTGCTTGTGCTACTAATCCAGTTTGGCAGTCCTAAATATGGGAGGCAAGAAAAAGTGGTCCAAGAATTATGATTCAGAATTTCGTGATTCAATGTGTCTCCTCCAAATGGAAGCGGTAGCCAAGGCTATGTAAGCCTTGTCTGCATGTGACGCCGCATGACGATTAATTCAGATAACGGTAGGGCCTCAATGCGCCTAGGAAAGCACGCCAAGTCTGCACGGCACATGAAAGTGGAAGCATTACACACTAAATATTTTAAGTGAAACTAAAAAGACAGCAAAAGCTCAAAAATATCAACCTAACCATATTTTGGACAAACATGATTGAAAAGAGCACGCTTTGTCAATACATATTAACCGAAAAATATGAGTAAACTTTCATTGCATATTCACCAATTAAAACCAACTTTCATTAAAAAAAAATCAGCAAAATTTAAAAAAAGAAAAAATACACACAAGTTTAAGTATAATCATGAAGACTAATGTAAGAACTAAATAATTTGCAGTCTGTCACAAATGTTCAACAAGTGCCATGATACCAATTTGTTGCTTACCATATCTATGGCAAAAAGTATGATGGCATAACTTAAGACTATTCCCAAACTGCAGGCTGCTCGAATTACAATTAATGTATTTTACCAGGCAACTCAAAGATGAAAGTTAGCAGGAAACTCACGAGAGGCTGTCTGGTGGGCTGCTTTGCTAGCCGGATGGCAAAGTGCACTGTTGCGTTTCCGCTTTTCCGTATGTTTCCCCCTCGTCTTTTCAGCACCTGACAATTCACAAGCAGTTGTGAAGTTAGGTAATACTAAAGCACTTGAAAACCACAACTCAAAGTATTTACATACCTATTTACATTCTAAAAATTATTTTTGTGCTGACCAGGGAACGAGTGATACCTAAGAAAGGCTAAAATGTTATTTGGAAACACTACAAATCTTAAAAATTACACAAGTAGCAATCTGGCACAGGGTATTATTCTAACATTTTCAGAAAAAGAAATATAGTGAAACCCGTTTAGAACGAGCCCACGTACAGCGAATTATTGTCGATATCAAACTCACGGAAAATGTGTATGAAAATGCGTGTAAAAAGTACTTTTTATAACAAACAACATATTGGTTATACAGTCATGTCTCGTTAATATGGACGCCTCCGTTCCCCAGAAAAATCGTCCATAATGTGAATCGTCCATAATAACGAATCAAGGTCAAAAACACAAACATTAGGTTATAATTGTTAAAAAAAAAGCATTGTTTATTTCGCAAAGAATGAGGAGATATGAGTTTGCACTGACGCTTTCGATCCCACTTTAGTGTCCAAAAAGCGCAACACTTCGGCCACTTGAAGTGCACGTTCTCCGTCCCCCTCCTGCTCAAGGTAGGCGATTGCTGTCTCCAAGCCACGGCGAGCTTCACATCGAGTAACGGTTGGTCTCTCTTCTTCATCGTCTGTTTCTGTCGGCGCAAAGTTTTCGACAAGTTGATGGCCCTGTTGAGCGGATTCACCGACAAGCTCCATGATCTGCTCGTCGCTCATAGGCTCCCAGCTGTTAGTCTCTTCATCTATATCCAAGAATGCCGATGCCTCTTCATCTGGGTTTTTCTCCCCGAGTTGTCGAAGAGCTTCACGAAGGGCCGCGAGCGGAAGTTCATCCATCGGATCCTCCACCTCCATAGCAGAGCTGTTAACAAGAATACCTGCGTGACGCCAGCAGTTCACAATGGTTTGAGGCCTCACCGCGTCCCACGCCCTCTTCAGCTTTTGAAGGCACCACCTCAAGTCAACAGTTTGCGGTTTGTTGTCTTCCGCGCAAGCGATGTAGTGCCGCACAAGTTCACCTCTGTAGTGTGCCTTAACCGCGCGAATAATTCCTGCGTCCAAGGGCTGTATTTTGGCAGTCATGTTGGGTGGAAAGAACTTCAAGGTAAGGTTTTCATAGTCCGCACGAACAGAATGGCATGATGCGTTATCAACCAACAAAACAGCCCTCCTCTGCTCAGCCTTCAAGAAGCGGTCGAATTTCGCCAAGAAGATTTCAAATATCTTTCCTGTCATCCATGCTTTCTTGTTGCAATTGTAAGAGCAATACATGTTTGGGTCAAATGTCTTTCCAAAACATCGTGGTCGCTCCGCTTTTGCCACGACAATGGGCTTCCACTTGTGGGTGCCGCTTGCGTTGCACAAAGATCCCACCGTGATTCTCTCTTTGCTTCGCTTGTTTCCAGCCACAGGTTTGGATGCCAGAGTCGAAGATGGGCCCAACTTATAAAAAAAGCCAGTCTCGTCGAAGTTGTAAATATTATCTGGAGAATACTGAGCAAGAAATTCCGCAAGCTGTTTCCGAGCACTGGCAACGGCGGCTGTATCCACGCTTCCACTCTCTCCATGAATACGGTGGCTTGAAATTCCATGCCTTCTCTTAAACCTGCTGAGCCAACCCCTTGAGTAGTTCAGGTCATGAATGTCTGCATAAAGACGTGAAGATTGCAGACATTAAAATAAAACCACTGAAGAGAGAACAGTTATTTTAACGTAGATGTGTAAGTGCACAAGAATGAGCAACTAGAAAAATCATTAGAAGAAACAACATTTTCGGGGAGGAATGCGTAACATTTTGAGAAAACATTTTCAAACTCAGTGCTTAAAAAGATACGCTCAGAACTGACTTACCCATCGTTGTGCCGAGCTCCTTCGCCTTTTCTTGCAGCATCTCGTCGCTGACGGCGGCCCCTCTGGAGCGCATTTCCGCAAACCAGATGTTGACGGCCTCCTCCAACTTCTCAAACTTTGGGGGTCGCTGCCGGCAGGAACTGGAGCTGGCTGTGGGAACGCTCATCCATTTCTTTGATTCTTTTAGAATTGCGTAGACTGTCGATTTTCCGAGATCAACGCCAAGGTGTTTTCCACTCCACTCTTTCACGTACTGAACAGACCCTGAAGGCGTTTCAATTTTGAATTTGCATATCTCCTTTTTCAGCTGAGCAGAAAGCTCTGTCCGTTTACGCTTAACACCTGTCATCGTCTCCACCTCCGAAATGACCGGAGAAGCGTCCAGCCTTGCCTCTTGCCTCTTATGCACAACGAATGTGATTCATCACGTATGCCAACCCGGAAGGAGATGGCATACGTTTAAGCTTGAAAGACAAGAAACAAAAAAAAAAAAAAGACCACCTTCAGGCGCGCAGCTCTTATCTCAAGGGCGGAGGACAATAGTGAATTCCGGGTACAAACTGTGACCTCTACGATTCACTAACCTTTTCTTCTGTCGGGTATGTGGACTCGCCTTCAAAGTAACCAGGCGGGGAACAAAAAGGCAATGGTGAATTCCGAGTAGTACACACTGGGGTCACTAATATTTTTTTTTCGTGGACACGTGTCCATATTAGCGAGACTAAAATGCCTGTATTTTCCCGTTTCGTCCCCAAAATAGCCGTCCATAGTCCGGACTGCGGGTTTCTGTATTAACGGGACAGAATTGCATGGCGGGAGGCCGGTCGCCGAAAATTTTGTCCATATTGCGGGGTGTCCCGATTAAAGGGGTCCATATTAACGAGACATGACTGTATCTAACTTTTTCCCCTTGCGAAGGCTTCCGAAAACGCGCAAACAACGCGACTTTTAGCCTGTTCCTTCCCGTCAAAAAGAAGTACATAGGAAATAAAGAAAATTCGAAAAGCTCAAGTTGTGAACAAAATTTAGCGAAGAGAAGCGATTCAGAAGGGGAGAAAGCTAAAAAAATACAATCTGCACACATGCACGGAAAAACGCACACCTTTTATCCCAAAGCATTTGCCGACGAAGAGAAGCGATTCAGAAAAGGAGATAAAATAAAAAAACAAAACCAAAAAAACTCTGCATGCATGCAAAAAAAAAAAAAAAAAAAAATTCAGCGCATTGTTTTAAGGCTAAAGTGTAGAGATGAGTGTGATGTATCGCGAGTAAGACCCAGTTGCAGCCGTTAGTCGCTCGACTCGTTCGTTTTAATCATGGCTCCCGACTGACCGAGACCCGTGCTCTTTCAAACCGCGCGCTCCCAGCACGCGGGGACCGCGGGCTTCCCAACATGTCCCGCCATCTGCTATAGCACAAGCAGATACATCACATCTTCCCATCACTTGGCTGTGATCCCGTATCTTGTGGGCGGTCTTCGCTCCCGCGTTCCTGCCCGAAGGGGCAAAGCCACAGGTTCGGACAGTTCGTGGCCTTCTGCACTTATCGCGCCAGTTGGTACCTCTTCGGACTGAACGTCCAAGCCCCAGGCTGCTGAGGGTGTATCACTCGACCGACGTGCAGCTAATAGCCTTGGTCGTATGTGGTCCATGTGCCGTCGCACTAGTCCGTCTTCTGTCTGGATTATCCATGACCGCGAACCCAGGCGCTCTGTGATGACCCCCGACATCCAAGTTCGTCCACTTGGGAACTTCAGAACCCATACGGATTGTCCCACCATAAACTGGCGTGGATTTTCGGTTGTCGCTTGTACATCGTCCTTGGGCACGCGTATCAGTCTCTCAAGTGGAGATGGCAACTCTCGTCCAAACATCATCCACGCTGGTGTCTTGCCTGTCGCCGTGTGCACTGTGGTATGTTGCTTGTAGAGGAACCGTGGTAGAAAACGCTTCAATTCCTCCCTTTCTCTTTTAGCAAGTGCCTCCTTCAGCTGCTGCACCATCCGTTCCGCTTGACCGTTTGTTGCGGGGTGGTACGGCGCACTTGTGACCGGCAAAACTCCATTTAGGCGGTAAACTGTCTTTATCTCATTGGAAACAAAAGCCGACCCATTATCCGATACCACTTTTCGTGGTACACCAAACGTCGCAAAAACGTTGCGTAACTCGCAGATAACGGATGCTGAGGTCATACTCGAAATAGCACGTACTTCAAGCCATTTAGTGAACGCATCCACAATGACCAGGAACACTTTTCCGTCCACCGGTTCCGCAAAGTCTACATGAAGGGTGTCCCACGGAGTCGACGGTCTTTCCCATGTTGGGCTGCTCCCTTTGGGTATCACCTTCTGGTGTCGCTGACACGTGTCGCACTTGGCAACAGAGGACTCAATCTCCTTGTCGATCCCCGGCCACCAGAGGTAACTTCGGGCGCAAGCTTTCATGGCGACCACTCCCCTGTGTCCTGCATGTACCAAGGCCAACGCCTCTGGTCTCATAGAACTATGAATTACGATGCGCGATCCCCAGATTAGGCAACCTCGGTGTATTGATAGTTCCGTGGACTTCATCTTGTAGGCTGTGAAACGCTCGCCAGCTAGCTTCTTGACCTCTGCACTCTTGACTGCTTGTAGAACTTCAGAAAGAGTGGGGTCCACGGCAGTCTGGTCTGCAAGGTCTTTAGCTGTCATGGGAGGCTTAGTCAGTGCTTCCAGCATAAGAACGTGCCCTGGTGGTCGCGGTTCATCTTCACTTTCTGTTAATGGTAGTCTGCTCAACGCGTCTGCGTTTTGGTTGTGGTTTCCTGCTCTGTAGACGAGTTCGTAGTCGTATGCAGCTAACTTGACACACCATCGTGTCATGCGTGGTGACAGAACCGCTGGCACTGGAGCTTTCGGACCCATAATCCCAAGCAAAGGCTGATGGTCAGTGGTTACTTTCACGTGACGTCCGGCAAGATATCGGTGAAAACGTTGCATGGCAAACACAATCGCCAGTCCTTCTCGATCCAATTGCGAATAGTTCTTTTCCGCTTCTCCCAAGGTTCTCGAGGTAAACATGATGGGAGCTT